GGTAAACGCTAGAAAACAAATTAAAAGCGTATTTTAAAGGCCATTGTTCAACCGTCATGAATTGTTACATACCAACCTTTAGGGCCCATTGGTGACATTGGGGGGTGGAAGTCTAAATTTAGTTCATTACAATTACGTCAATGACCTTGAGCTCTGCTAGTAAGATGCTGTGGTATGGTGGCGTGTCGGGGAGAAGGGTAAAATTATTGTTCATGCTTACTCATTCGCTCTTACCCACAAACAAATTTATTTCAAGCCTAAAATGAAGAATGTAGATCTAACTTCTATATTCGTTTGGAAAACGTCAGTATGAGGCAAGTCTAGACTGTTCCTATGTCTGCGCGGTCCATCACAAGTTACTTTCTTTACTTCTTTTTTTTTGTAAGCCTATGTGTCGATTATGTATCTTGTGCAATGTAAAATCAAGATAACGTTGTTCAAACTAAGATATAAGTTTGGACTTCCTTGTGTGACCAAAATGGTCGCCTACAGAGCAACAGAAGAATCTACCATTTCTTATAAAATTAGTTTTATCGACATTTGCAGACAGTTTTATATAATTATTTTTAAGGAAACCCAAAATCTATTGACAATCATAAATTAATATGATTTGAACTTTTTGCCTTATACAAATGAAATACCATGTGCATATTGGTCCTCTGGTCCTGTTAATACAATTTTTTGAAGGGTTTCTTTTATAATTTAAAACTATATCATTGAACAAGCATTTTCAAGGACTCTCTGCAGTTTTGCGTGCTCTTGCAACTACTAATTCAAGAATCAGTTTGATGACCGATTAAAAATAATGTGTTGATACGTTATAAAAGTTCAACTGTTAAATATCATAGTTTTTGAGGGAGGGACTGGAAATTTAGACTATATTAAAGATTTGCATTCATAGTAGAACATTATAGACTTTAAGTAAACCAACAGAAAAAAGATTGTTTAAAATTTTCAAGTTCATTTTAGAACAAACTGTTTGCTCCGCCTCCCAGTTAACTGAGAATTTCAAGAAGTAGAAACATTTTAAATAAATAATAAGTGAAGTTAAATATATCCCATAGGGTTTTTGAAAAACATTACACAAACTTCACGGTCACGGATGCCAATATACTTCTAACCATACTAGGAATTTCCTAAAATTGATATTGTACGTTGAAATAGGTTTATCTATCTATCTATTCTATTCTATATTCTATTCTATATTCTATTCTATATTCTATACTATTATAAAGAAGAGAGGGTGTCTGTGTGTGTAATTGTATGAGCTAATCTCAAAAACTACTGATCCGACTATGCTCAAATTGCACACAAATGAAGCTACAGCTCCGAGGATACATATAGAACTATTACCGCTTCGATATTCACCTAGGGCTTTGCCCCGTGGGCTTTCAAAATCTGAGATGATAGATTTAAAAGTAAATATTGATTGATGGTATCCATGGTAACAAAGAACAAACCTAGTAAGTTTAAAAATGTAAACAAGCAGAACTAACTGTCAAATTGATTTTGATTTCACAATTCAACACAGCTGGTTCAAACCTTATTAAATACTGCACGAATATTAGAACAGAGAGGGTAAGGATTATAAATTTAAAATAATGATGTCACTAGCCTGAATGTAAACGTTATTTAACATTACCTAAAGGAGCTGTCAAACCATATGTTAATGTAATTTCATTATTATAGAATTGTTTCAGTTACAGTACTTCATTTGTTTATGATCTAACTATACTGAGTCTGTTATAATATTTGTGAAATGTTGTAATAATATTTATTTATTTTTATAATAATTCATTGTAAAAGAAATCATTCGATGGATATAGGAAATAATCAACATTCTATATTGCCTTATCAACCTAGGCCCTTATCCTGAGTTATGAGGTATATTCTTTTGATTTATTTGTTTGTAAACAGTAATATAATCCCCCTGCCCCAGCAAACCTATAGACTGAGCGAATTCCCGTTTGCCTGATTATAATTTCACTAAAATATGTTAGAAAATTGCCCTATTAACATGTTTGGAACTATTGTGATAGGTTTTCGTTTACAGTGCAAACCATTAAACACATTCTTTTATTATAGGTATATGTGTGCTACACTATAGGATACCGTATAAATTAAAAGACCATATTTTCTTAAACCGTTTCCTCTCCCATCACTGCAATGATCATTTTCTACTTATATGCCAACCCCGTACGAAGGACGGGTATTCTACTAGTTATTAATAAAGTTGAGAATACTAAAGGTTCTACAAAACAAAACATTGAATAATAAAAATACATTTGTATGAAAGTAACAGATAGATTGACAAAATTGTAAAACGATTGTATAATATCTAACAATATCAAATTATTTACAGTATCACGGTTACAACTTTTAAACTACTCTTGTTATGACTCAATGTTAACCTCTTTAGGACCTTTCATTTTATGCTTTTGTTAGTGGGGACTGGTTAAAACACCACAGTAGGTTTTACAAATATGATTGTGAGATGATATTATAATCTGAACTAGATTATGCGTGTTGATAATAATATTTATTTTAATTTAAGTACTTTAATTGATACGGTTATATGTTTACCTCATATAACATTTGAACATGGATTGAAACATTAGATGTCTTTGGAATACTCTGAGAGTGAGAAGCAAAACATAACTTTCAGCAATGATGCATCGAAATCTACCTTTACTGAGTGATTCAGAAATGTAATTGTAAAATATTTTGTCAACATGACTAGAATGTTAAAAAAATAGATGTATCAGCACGAAATAGTTTGTAAGATTAAAAAAATGCAGTCTAGGACAACTTATATAGCGTTCTAACCTCAAACATTGTTATTGTTTCAATGTAAAAATTCAACTGATACAAAATAACTACGTTACCAATTTATGTTTGTAAACAAAAATCAATTTTTTAATTGTGGTGTAATAGCTATTTACATTGCAAGTGTTGTAAGAGCGTTTTTACTTCACGCAGGTGAATGTTGTGCAACGAGCGGAAGCGAGTTGCATAATTCACCTAAGTGATGTAAATACGCTCTTGCGTAACGTGTAACGTACAAGATTTTACCTGACCCGACAATATACATGGGTTTACGTACAATATTTTTCATTATCCAATTCACTCATCTTCTATCAGTAACGTTATTTTACTAACAAAAGCTATTTTACTAACAAATTTCAAAATGCTTTCTCAAATTTATTTATGGGTTTTGTACAAAATCTTATTTTAATTTGGCTTTTACAGTAAGTAAACAACGTTGTATCATTCTATGGTTGTATGGTCTACATGCATTGGATTAACCATAAACATATATTGGCCAGCATATATTGGCATTTTTGATTGCTTATAACCTCTTTGGCTCTGTTGAACTCTTTTACCATTCTCTTTGCGAAGTTGATCCTATCCATTTCGGCTAATATGAGGTACTACCGTTACCGTTCCTAATATTAGGATATCTTTGTGTGCAAGCTGTTCCCAAACAGCTATAACAGTTACTAGATTAGGAACGTAATGTGACGTCATTTGGAACAGACGTGCATGGTAGCGGCGCACGTCTGACGTGCGAATAGCCACTGCCATAAAACAACAACAGTAACAATAACAACATACAACATAGAAACAGCTGGTTTATAGTAATACGGCAACACCAACATCAAGTGTCACTACTCACTTTACCCGTTCTGTAATTCATAGCAAATACATTTACCAACTTGGCACTGATTATTGAAACATATAAACAGTTACAAACATTACCTAGAGAAACTAATAAATAGCTTCACATGTACCATCGATTTTTAAAGTTAGTCAATTATAAAAAAATGCAGTTAACAATTTCTCTTAAAGTATTTGTTTTATTTAAGCTGGTGTTTAATAAACACAAAATTTAACGTAGAAACAGTCAATGTCAATTGCAAAATGAGTTGATTGGAAATACTAAAGAGTAAACATTTTGCTTACACCAGTGCCCCTTTACGTAACCATACAAGAAACATACATCAAAAAAAGTTTTCAAGTTTTTTTTGTCAACCTACTTGCCATATCCGAAGTCAATGATATAATATGGTTGCTACTCCTCAGAGAGTTGGTAGTAACTTACAATCAAAGCAAATTGTGTGGCCAATGGTTTTCTTAAAATTATGTATACTTATCTCATTGTTTTTATAAACATTTATTGCCCTAATCCAACCACATGTGAAGCAATTCAAAATCCGAACAACAATTTGTCAAAATCAAATTACTGAAAAAGTGTTAACATTTTAATTTCCATAGCCTACTCTTTTTTACAAAAGTCTATCAAGAACAAAATTCTCATTAACTGGAGGAGAGAGTCTAGAGGTTTACACAGCAACGGTTTTACAATCTTACGTTAAAATCATCCTGTTACCGGACAAATAAAGTATTAATAATTATGGCATTGCACATAGTACAAATAAGTAAACCATATATATGCTATATTTACCCAAATGCTGAATTAGTGTCACACACGTTGAATATTTGCAGCTGTTCACTTGAACAAATTGTGTTATGCCAAAAGCTAATATAGAACAATAGTGTCGGCTAAAGTTATGGCTTCGACATTCCCTTACATTCAATACAGAAGAATCATGAAAATCTGTTAAATAGTAAATTCAACAGGTTTATCTTGTACCTAAATTATCCTATTATCAAACCCTTGAAAGAAGTATAATTGTTTTTATGTAATAGCTTGAAATGAATTTTAAGTTAAATAGGTTACCAGGAAGTTAATTTATTTTATCTCTTTAAAAATGTAACAGTATCTTAGTTTGTAATTTTACCTTTTGTAATGTTTTGTAATATTGCTTTCAAGGAAAAAAAATACATTAATTTCTTATTCTTATTCTTCTATTGGATGAATCTGAATGTAAACATTTTTGTACACTGATCCACACAGTACATTGGCTGTTCCCGCTCCCGGTCACTACGCAACAGCAGAAAATGTGTTAAATGAAAGCCTTCCAGTAAATCAAACTTACCATTTCTTCTTCAGGTGAAACGCCTGGCATCGTGAGCAACTCTCGTTCAGGAAAGTAAGTTCCAGGTGTGGTAGTGGCTGCTGTGATCAGCGCTCTCCTCGTGCGCTCAGACGGTATCCACGCATCACGTCTTCTTTCACACTCCCCGGCAGTACTTTTTGTTGTTTGTATCTTCATTCCACCCAAGTCAACATCATCATCATCTAAAGAATTCATTTTGTTATAGCCTAATATTTTGTATAAATAGATGGGGTTAAGGTACTACTGTCACATTACACGTTGAGTTGCCAAAATGACTCCTCAGCTCAGCTCAAACCAATACAATAGCTACATAACAATACTGCTGTAATATGTGTACTGTAATATGTAATATTGAATATTTTTATTCCTAGTGAAATAGTCAAAGCTTTTTCAAACAATTTATTTGTGTGTATTAAAAAAAAGTCTAACTACCAAAATCTACACCTACACCGACCTCACAGGGAAACCAACCCCCACCCTCATTTATATGATTTATATGTCGGTCCCTCAACCCAGACTTGGGTGAAAGAGTTGAATGCTGCTGAGGCAATAATTGCCCAATGTCAGGCCTGAAATCTCAAACCAGCTAACACACTTGCAGAAAATAGGGTAATTTTGCGCCAATTTGTAATTGACCAAAATAGCAATAATGATGCCAATGCTGCGCATGAGAGCAAACAGCGGCTTGCGCAAACTGATGAAAGCGTTGCCGGCGAGCAAGCGATACCTCCTTCTTCTGTTCAGTTTCCTTCTTGCGTACGCTCATTCTTCCCTTATTGGGACGAAACGAAGACAGTGAAAAAGGCTGCACTGGTAAAGGCGACCAGAATACACAGTAGTAACCTAGTTGTTGCCGCACATAAAAATTATACTGGATCTAGCAGGCATGGATGCTCAAACAGTGTCTTGCAGAGCAGATCATTTTGAGAATGCCAAAGGTCTTGGCACAGATGTGATGAATGTCTGGCCCAAACTCATATGATGAGCCAATAAGAATCTAAGAAATAGTCTATATCCAGAGAATTTTATTTAACGCTAAAAAATTTCAACTTATTCTTGGTGGGATTCAACATCATCTTTGGTCAAGTCTTGGCTGAGACATCATTTAAGAGCCTTAAGCAAGGACTCAAAATCATGGAGGGAAGCAACTTTCCACAAACAGTTTTATATCGTCAGCGAAACAAAGAAAAGGGATCTTGATAACTTTCTTGATGTCTTCAAAGAATATGTAGTACTGAAAATATCTGAAATTTTGTTGGATGTTTTCATGATAAATATGCAACAAATCCATATTCACACCAACAAATCCATATTCACACCACAAAACCACATGAAAACCAGCTCACATGAATTAATAAAGACAGTAAAACTCAACCTGTTGAGGGAGTGTTTATTGTACTAAACCAAAGTACAATAATAGTTATCACGATCCCTTGTCAACTCCTCCTCATCCTTAGTCACATAAGGACTCAAAACTATGGTACATTCATAATATTGGCATTTTATCTCTAACCCTTCATGAAACGATAAATTAAGTCAATTAATTAGTATTTGTTTGTTTTTCTTTTAGCTAAGGTATTTTTAAAAGTTGCTGTTAGTATGTGGAATTAGGAGGTTTTCAGAGTAAACAAATCCAAAAACACTCATATTTGCACCACAGCCCTCTATGAAAGCCTGTTACTATTAGTGGCCAGGATGCATCCACTTTTCATGCTGGATAAGTGTTTACCGACTCCCTTTCATTCAATCATATCAAAAGTGGAATTTCATCAATAGTACAGGGTAAAAATTTCATCAGATACAATTTTTACCTATAGCCTACCTCCATGACCCTTTATGCTAGGCCTACTTAGTTTGTTTTCAAGCAATTTTTACCACATGCACTAAATGCATGGAATTTTGAGGTTTTCAGAGTATAAAATGGAAAAAAATATATTTTACGCCATACAACCCTCTTTGAAAGTCTGTTTTCATAGTCTGACCAGAATGACTTGTTACACTCATCATGGATATGTGTTTACTCTCTTTCATCCAATCATATCAGAAGTGGTCTCTTTAAATGTCATGGGATACTATTTTTTACCGATACCTCCGTAATCCTTTATCGAGGAATAAAATATGTGATATACTACTTTGTTTGTATTTTAATCTATTTACAAACAGATCCACTAAAGGCAAATCAATTTCAGGTTTTCAGTGCATAAAATGACAAAAACTTATATCTACCCAATACAACCCCATGTAAAAGCCCATTATCATAGTCTGATTAAGATGATTTGAGAAACTCATCGTTAGAGCTCATCATAATAGTTTATGGTGTATAATGTGTTTACTCTCTTACAACCAATTATATCAAAAGTGGAGAATCATTAACAGTGGTTACTTTAAATTTACTTCGGTCCCTAAGGTCTCAGCAAGGCCGTAGCCAGAAGTTAGAAAGAATGGAGGTCTGGGGGTCCTACCCCAGGAAAACTTCATATTTTTAAGAGCCGTTTGGTGACTTTTTAAAGAAGTTTTTAACGCCTAAAGTCCAAATCTCCAAAAACTCCCATTTCACCTGTTGTTTGTCATGAACAGGTAGACATTTTTAAAACTAAACTATGACCATTGTATTTTATAAATTTTAAAACATACTGTAGGCTACAGCAATAATTTTTACTAGGTACTAAATTTCTGGATTTTGGGGAGGGTTTGACCCCCTAACCCCCCTGGCTACAGCCTTGGGTCCCAGGTCTTCGAATCCCGTCAAATTACCAATGGATTTTTATTTTATCCATGTGATAATGCCGCAACCCCTAGGTATAGCCTAATTTTGTGAAAATCAATCCCATGCCTAGGAAAATAAGTTCTAGCCTGGAAATGTGTAACACATCATTTCAGGCTTATAATAAATTCATAGTATTTCTATGGATTCTAGGGTTTCCCAACGCAGACTGATGAAATGGACCCAATAGTATCACGGGGCGCGACCACAGGAAACTTGATGTCAGGTGCTGGACACAAGTGAAAAAATCCTCAGACTCTTTTGCATTATGTGTCCTCTCTTTATTATGTATTATAAATGGTGAAACTTAACTTAAAGAGGTGTCTCCCGTATTACTCCAAATCTTATCAATAGTGGAGGATTAACCTTAAACAAATTATGGGATAAGAGGCCCATATTGGTAATTTAATCTGTCTTTCATACACTAAATATTTGTCTGTTTTTTACGCTCTTTAAAAATTTTTAATTAATAAAAATGAATTTGGACGTTTTTAAAATAAAATACCCACACGCATATATGTATTTGTTGTTTTAGAAAATCAGTAGATATATTGTTAAAGCCAGGTGCAGACCCTCTCCTAAGTGAGTTAACGTAATGTGTGACATCATGTTCAGTGACTGTGTGTAGCGTGAACTGTGAGTAATGTCTGTAGTCAGCGTCGTTCAGTATTGGGGTTCCTCCAGTCAATATTACTGGCCAGATTTTGACCAACAACAGAGAAAAAAGTATTGAAATCACTAGCAATTCGCTTTAATGTTTCATCGTTTATAATATGCGATTAAGGAAAAAACTTCTGTACAGGAAACGCATCTCGAGATTTGACTCTCCCAGACAGCTCATTGATAACACCCCAAAGCACTTTAGGATTTTATTTCCCCTGATTAATTTTGCTTCTATAATATTCTCTCTTTGCAGTTTTTAACAATCAACCTAAATTGCTTCTAACATTGATAAAATGAATCCTTAGGTTTTCATTAAATGGTTGTTTTTTTTTTTAGTTTTACTAAGTTTGTCCCTTTCACGGATTTGTTGAACGAGATCCAGCATTATCCAAGGTTTTATCTTTTTAAATCTTGAATTATTATTTGATAATTTTCTTGAGCTTTCATTAGACACTGAAATAATTTTGTTAAAACGCTCAGAACAAACATTGGTATCGAAACAGTTCAGAACGGTTCCCCAATCTGCGTGAGTAAGATTGTCGGCAAGTAGTGTGCTGTCAATGTAAGTGTGGTGTGTCTTGTCGTACTGGTTGTTGGATACATTGTCCGTGGTTACAGTCAAATTCAGTGCAGTTCCATAGTGATCGGTGATACCTGTCTCAAAAATAGCTGTATTTATATTTTTTAATCTGCAATACGGACAAATATATGATCCAGACAAGACGTAGAGTTATAGGAGACACGTGTGGGTTTATCAATACTGAACTAAGCCATTGCCTAGATCAAACAATTTAAAAATCTGTCAGAAATGTGATTACCTTTGAGCAAGTCAATATTTATATCACCCACAAAAATCATCTTTACATTCAAAGGCAAATCATTAAAGAATTCTTCGAATTCAGATAAAAATAAGTCAACGTTGCCGTCATGAGTTCTGTAGGCCTACAGTGTAGTGAGAATGTATTGCTCACTGTGTAGAGCGTAAACCAAAATCGTCTGCAATAATAATTTGTACAAAAGTGAAAGCCAGACGATTATTACATTATTATTAACATAAACTAGTACACTGTCATTCTGATTGCGATTTGTTAATACCCCATTAACAATACACCGATCAACAGAAATACCCATAGACGCACACCATACATCCCTCCATTCAACACATACCCACAGCCACATTTAAACCCCAATGGGAGAGGACAATAGGTTGTTACCCCTCCCCCTATAACTATAAACCAGCCGCTAAGGCCAATCATTTTTATCAATAGACGCCCTCTAGCTTACAAGCCCCAACAATTAGCACCATTACCGAAACCAGATCTGTCACAGCACCACTAAATGATTTTGCAATTTTAAATGTTAAGATAGCCAATCATTCAATACCAGCATTGGTAGATACAGGAGCCTCATGCTGAATCATATCCAACCAATTATTTAAAAGAATCAAATTAACTAAGGGCGTTCTTGATGGGCAAACACACGTTGTCAACGCTACTGTGATAACAGCTTCCTCCACTCCGTTAAAATTAACACATTATGTACACCTACACTTTATAAAGTCAGTTACCTTGCATGGAACAGAAAATTTTATATTGCCAATCATCTCCCCGTAGACATCATTTTGGCCTAGATTTTTTTTAATTCAACAAAAGCAGTGATAAACATAGCCCAAAACGCAATAACATTTTCCTACACTATTCCATTATTTCTATCACTAGGTCCCCCACAACAAACTAGTGACTAAGAGGATCCACCAGGCCCTAAATTTGGTACCAACTTAAATACGGAACAAAAACACAAGTTAGAAAAGTTGTTGTCCAAGTTCCCAAATACAGTTACAAAAACATCACAGGTAGGTACAACAAATCTAGTTCAATATCGTATCACCATTAAACCAGACCACGTCGTGTACGCTGCATACCTTACCAATTTTCACCCCCCAAAACAGAAATTTTGCGACAACACATACAGGAACTTCTCAAAGATGGTGTCATATGCCAGTCGACATCTGAATTTGAACCGCGCTGTGGCGGTTATGTTAGGCACGCTGTATAAAGGTGGCTTCCGGATAATACCAATTACCTATTATTCTTTCGGCAGTAAAAAACTACACTAAGTATACCTTATATATAAATTTTGTTTTTAGGTAGGCCTAGGCCTACATATCTTATTTTCTTTTACAAAAAATATTACTTACATATTAGGCTACTAAAAGCCAAAAGGCTCATGTGTTAAAGTACCTGCCCAGATAGGGGGGAATGACGACGGAACAGCGGCTCAGTGTCGTGACTAGGTTACGTTCATCTTGTCTATTGTCCTCATCACGAACGATATCAGAAAAGTGATTGGACCGCAAAATTTGTGCATTTTGAGTCTCGATATTGTACGAATAATAAATAAAGATCAGGTAGAAAATGGTATACTCGTCAATGTAGTGAAGTGTGAGAAATGTGGGTAGAAATATTTGCTCAGTTGTGAAATGTTATTTTTCCTGTGCAAAACGTTTGAGCATTCAGAATCAGAATCGTTTTATTGTCCTTGAGCATTACATACATGCAATAGACAGTGTCATTTTTAACATACAAAATACATGACATAGACTACAATTAATATTAGATACCGATAGGTTCATTCATCTGAAGAAACAAAAGCCAACTGGCCTTAGAGGTATTTATTGAATACTGTACCTTCATGTAAATTTTTAATTTTGATATCTTAATTTTTAGTTTTTTAAGGACTACCTCCTGAATCCTAATACGTTATACCATAATTTTAACCCAAATAAATATTAGTTAGTAGCTGATCAATACATTTTTTGGAGTTATTTGTCAATCAACAATGGCATCACTTGCTGCTAACGAAAGTGAAGGTGAGGCGAAGCAAGTTGAAGAGATGATGAGAAGAAGATTAAAAGCATATCCTTGGCTAAAAATAGAAAATTATCAGTGACTATAGAAACACTAATTTAAGTGATCCATTAACAGTCAATTTAATATTTCCTTTAGAGGAAATTTCAACTCATTACGGGGATATAAGTTAAATGGGCTGGCTGACTAGTTACAAATACTGGTAGCCTTGTTAGCCTAAGTTATTTAGGAATGTATAAGGATGGTAGATCGTTCTTTATGAAAATTTCAAATCTTTTGAGAATTCGGGGCTGTAGGTTTATAAGGTGTTTTAAGTTAAAGGTTAGATTAAGTTAGGAAGGTAAAGTTTAAAAGTTATAGGCTAATGAACCGAGTTGTTAACTTAGTTTATAATGTCTCCAGACTATTTTTGTTTAATTACTTAAACACTGGGGAAACGGTCTAGAGAAAAGGTAAACTAAGAACTCGGATCATTATAACCTAACCTACCTTCAAAAAACATAATGCAGTCACAAATAATTCTCATAAAAAATTACCTACCATCCATTCATGCCTTTTCTGACATCTAAGGCAATTTGCTAACGGTTAGAAGTTTGGTTACGTTAGGTTTGATCAGATTTGTGGCAATTTTAGGTGAATGTAAGTTACTAGACGCTTTATAGGCTTTTTTCCCTTTAAATAATTTCCCACAGATCATGCTTTCCCCACCCAATAACCCCGATTCCCACCTGTCTCTATATGGTATGGGTTAGGATGGGTTAGATTTTTTTAAGTAGGCCTAACTTAACTTAAGTTATTAAGGTAGTGTCAAAATTACTTTAAAACCTCATGTGTCCGTAATGTAAATTCTGTTGTTTCAATTTGTTGTATTGTTAAGCATATTGTTCTTTGCCTTTGCTTGTAAAATTTGTTGCACAGTAATTATGTCCATTTTGAATTGTTCCTTTATAAATTAGCAATTTGCCATTGAAATAAATGAAATGTAAAATTTACCATAGTAGGCCTGAAAGAGACAAAAATTAAAATAAATCTAACTTAATAGGAAACCCGAAAGACACAGATTTGCTGATATATTTATACGCTTACCGTCGAACACTCAAAATACTTTTACCAATGAGTAACTTAGACTGACCGTAAAACTATAACTTTACGACAGTTTATCTGTCTGTACAATGTTTATCTAGATAAACATAGCCTACCTGAAGTCATGACGCCGCTGTCAGGCAACGAAAAGCCTACCCCTGTCTCATCTAGGGAAACATGTGAATAGATATCACGAGATACTACAGGAGAGCTCAGCATATCAAAGAAACTACTACCAGGTTGAGTTTTAGTTTCTTCAGTCTTACTTGGTTCAATTTGAAGTGACGAAAAAATTCTGCAAACTACTGGTTCCTCAGAAGTGTTAGGCCTACTCAGCTTCTCTGTTTTACTCTCATCTTCTTTATCATATAGAGATACACTAGGCATAATAGCATCATTATTACTAGCTCTAACACTTGCTTCCGACTGGTGTTTGGACATAAAATCAGTAGGCCTATTTGTATCAATATTTTCTAAATCTTCATTTAAGTCACAGTTTGATCCAGTGCCGGCAACATTTTTTATAAGTGTTGATGAGGATAAATCGTCAAAAAAGTTAGCAGTTTTGTTTGCAGACTGCTGAAAATATTTCTTAGTGGAATGTGTTTGTTCGTCCATTCTGTATTGGGGCACAGACAATATAATACGGGGCCTAGCCCTAGTTCAGATTGTAATCAAACTCACGTACGAATGAAACACATAAGCATGAATGCTACAACTTTATGTAGTCTAATCTTAACTAATTTTTAAAATACATCTAAAATACCTAGGCCTAGGATATAATGATCCAACCAACTTAAATTCTGTCTTTCTACACTGGCGGGCACTGAACTACAACTCCCGAACGACCCGAACTAGACTATTTTTATTTTAGTTAAGAAGGTCGATTCACACACATCAGTCCAGTCACAGTTCCGTTACAGTCCAGTTGCAGTCCAGTTACAGTCCAGTCACAGTTGCATCCGCAATTTCTCACTCAATTGTCCGTCAGTTGGTTTCAGTCAGTCTTCCGTCTCTAATATTTACAGTAATTTACAGTCAAAAAATTTAAATTTTAAACCTATATTCTATTAAATTATCATTGTCCATCTTGTTGATTGTTACAAACAGTACTCAAAATACAAACGCAACCATTTAAATAACAATAACACTATTTTCTAACCTCAAACAGTTCCGTCAGGCGTCCGAAGAATCAAAAAGTATCGTTGGAAAGAAATCTGAAATTGACTGACGGATGCCAGCAGAGCGACTGACGGAACTGCAACGGATGAGTGTAGATAGCGCAATAGCAAATCCATTAAAGAATATTTTTGTTAACTGTGACGTGCCTGAAGTGACTGGACTGTGACGTTCCGTAACTGATGTGTATGAATCGACCTTACAGTAACAGTACTGATACTTGGTGAATGGTATTTGGTGACTGTGAATTAGTGTGAATGAGGAGACTGGGCACTGGCTGAAAAACAAACAGAACAACTGAACAGTGAACACACAGCAGACGGCACATAAACATAACCTCTAGCTCTAGCTCTAATAATAATAGCAATACCCCCGCCACAGCAGACCTGCAGCCTAAGCGAATTTCCAGTTGTCTGATTACATTATATTTGACTAAAATATTTCCATAAATAAGACCATAGATAAAACATACTCCCTTGTGTTGGTTAGTCTATGATAAGACATATTTAATCCCAGTTAGCATTAGATTTAACGGGTGCTTAAGTTAGGTTTGCTATTAAGGGGAAGGTAAAAAGTATTTTTGACCAAACGTCAATAGTATAGTATGAAATAAATAAATTTGCAAAATTTTATCAACATAGGGTAAACTGTGGTAAACTACAACAGTTTTCATTTTCTCCATAAGAATAATGTGGGAATTTTTAATTTACACTTTTAGCGAATTTCCCTATAGGGAAGTAGCTATTACCGTAGGTCTCATGGTAAGACCTGGGCGCGGGACCGATTTACTTTTTCATTTTGATGTCCCCAGAGGCCAAAAACACTAATCGTTCAAATTCATATATATATATATATATATATATATATATATATATTATATATATATATTTATATATATATATTATATATATATATATTTATATATATATTTATATATGTGTCCGTTAGCGCGATAACTCGAGCAAAAATGACCCGATTTCGATGAAATTTGGTATAAACGTGTAAACCTACGTTTATTTGAACGAGTTCGCGAACCAGCATGATCGGACTATGGGAACGGGGGTTTATGGGGGGTTTTATGGGGTAAAAATGGGGTTTTCCCATTTTTGACCCTAAAAATAAAAAATTTTGCAATTTCTTTTTAGACCGTTTTGTAGAGCTTAAAAAAAGAAATAATTTAGTATATTGAAGCGCTGTTGTATGCCTAACGGTCACGGAGAAAATTAAAAAATAGTGTAATTTAAAATTCCCATGTTATTCTTATGGAGAAAATAAAAATTGTTGTAGTTTACTTGTTTATGGATATATATTGATAAAATTTGGCAAATTTATTTATTTCATCCTATACTATTGACGTATAGTCAAAAAACACTTCTTACCTTCCTCGTAGCAGCAAACCTAAGCACTCGTTAAATCTAATGTTATTTAAATAGGGAATAAAAATATGTCTTATTTATGGAAATATTTGAGCAAAAATGTAATAAGACGAGTTGAAATTCGCTTAGTCTGCAGGTTTGCTGCGGCGGGGGTACTGTATTTTTATTTTCTCTGTAACCATTAGGAATACAACAATGCTTCAATATAATAAATTATTATTTTTTAGGCTCTACAAAATGGTTGGGAAAGATCTTCCAAAACTTTATGTTGTTAGGGTAAAAAAATGGGAAAATGGGAAAAATTAATGTATATATAAAATTGAACGGATGGTGTTTTTGGCCTCTAGGGACCTCAAAAGGAAAGGTAAATCGGTCCCGGGTCCAGGTCTTACCATGAGACCTACTGTAATAGCTTATTCCATTCCCTATATAGGAAATTCGCTAAAAACAAACAAATAACAATAATACCCCCGCCCCAGCAAACCTGCCGACTAAGCGAATTTCCATTTGTCTGAATTGATTTTCAATTAAATATATTTTAATAACATTAGGTTTAACAAGTACCTAGGTTTGCTGCTACAAGGAAACTAATAAAGTGTGTTTTTTAGTAAAATATTGATAGCTTAGTACAAAATAAATAAATTTGCCAAGTTTGATCAAAATATATCCATAAACAAGCAAACTACAACATTTGACAATATTCTACATAAGAATAACATGGGAATTTTAAATTTACAATTTTTTAAAATTTTCTCCGTTACCAATAACCGAACAAAAAAACTTTTATATACTAAATTATTTGTTTTTTTAAGCTCTTTAAAAAGGTCTAAAGAGAAATTGGGAAATTTTGTGTCTTGAGGGTCAAAAGTGAGAAAAACCAATTTTTACCCCATAAAACCCCCCGTAAAGCCCCGTTCCCATGGTCCGATCATGCTGGTTCGCGAACTCATTCAAGTTTATCCCGCTTTACACCTTTAAACCAAATTTCATCAAAATCGGACAAAATTTACTCAAGTTATCGCGTTCACGGACGTATATATATATATATAAATCTATATATATATATATATATATACATATATAAAAATTTGAACGAATGGTGTTTTTGGCCTCTGGGGACATCAAAATGAAAAAGTAAATCGGTCCCAGGTCTAGGTCTTACCGTGCCACCTACGGTAATAGCTACTTCCCTATAGGGAAATTCGCTAAAAGTAGTACCATGATAAAAACATACTCCCTTAACTTACTCCCCAATGTGTTGGTTAGTCTATGGTAGTACTAAACTAAACTGACTGACTGGACTGAAGAACGACAAGTTTACAGACGAGACCTTCTCTGGAGGACCAACCCCCCACCACCGCGCCGTGCTGAACGGTCCCGAATCGTACCGATCAGGATGTATTCAACATGTATACATGTTGGATGTATTCAACTCATCCACCCTGGTCATTGGAGACCTCAATATCGATGGACTCAAGCCTTCGACCGAGAAGAGGCTGCTGACAGAAATCTTGACATCATACGACTGCAAGAGAATTGATTTACCTGCAACTCGCGTCTCGCTTTTTCTTCTACATCCATTGGGTGAGGTTCATAACACCAAGTTTTCATAACTCCAAGTACTTTTAAATACAACATTTCATAACACCAAGTAGAATTATTTCCAAGTAAATTAAAACCAAAATATCATAAGTCCAAGGTTTCACAACTCCAAGCGTTCATAACACCAAGTTTTCATAACAGCAAGTTAAAATAAAACCAAGTAATTTAAAATAAGAGATTTCATAACACCAAGTACATATTTGCAAGGATCACAAGTCCAAGGTTTCATATCTCCAAGCGTTCATAACACCAAGTTTTCATAACTCCAAGTAACAATGGGTACAGTCAGTGCAGGAAACGATAACACGCACACACACACACACACACCCATTACACTCACACAAGCTGGAAGAGAGGTTCCGATGTTCGCGAGACTACCTATTCGAAGTGGTGCGTTCCCTGTCGCTTTGCACGTTCATCTAAATTGTAATACAAATTGTGACAGGATGAAATTTACATATTTAAATTCTGCGTAAACTGATGTTTAATACTATATAAATAAAATTTAGTTTGGGCAGATGATTAATTTTTAATAATGCAAAATATAAAAAGGTTGCTCAATGTAAACATGAAAAAGTAAGTGAGCGAGGATTTTTTTCATTTTTTGGTCAGATGAAAACTTTCAGCGAGAAAAGTATAGATAATAAGATGTTCTTCAATTTTTGTTCCAAACATTTTTTCGTAAGACTTTTAGTTTGTCCAATAATCGACTCAGATTACCACCACGAGGTATGAATGAATTAGTTTACGCGCACAGTATTTTAGCAATTGCCGTCTTCCAACAACAATATTACAGACATATTTTTCTGTAAATTACACACGTTTTAAAATTGCTAAACTATAAAAAATAATTAGTATTGGTAATAACGTCTTCAGCGGTACGTACGAAGTTTCGACATTTGTATACATAATATTCGTGGTGCATAACGCAAATAAGTCGTAGTGCCTATTTTCCGTTTATTTTTCATACGTTTCCTATTTTTCGGAAAAGATTTACACATGATTAATTCAGGTTAAGGTTTCATCTCTTGTAGCATTCATTTGTAAATATAAAATTTGATTATAGTTACAATTACTTGTTCCCCCATAAATCTTTACTAGGTGAACCCGTGCGAATTCGCACGAATAATAAATTAGGAAATTCATCTATACGTTAAATAGAAGGTTTTTATAATTTAGGAATTCTTTACGTACCTACCTTAATGAGTTAAGTACTTTAATATAAGTATAGATGTCGTCCAGTGGTCAAAAACTGGACAAAAATCTATCTAATGCATGAACTAATATATTTTTTTTAACCCGACGCTGAAAATCTAACATGTAATGTGTGTTCCAGTCTTTAATTTGTTTTCATTTACTGTTTACTTGTCGATGTTAATTCGGGAGCGTTTAAAAATCTCCAAATTTCACAAACTCCAACGCTAAAAATATTAAATGAACAGACCGTTTGATAATGTCCAAATTTCATAAGCTCCACAACAATAACCTTCAAATAATCACTGTTTCACAATGTCCAAATTCACAAGGTCATTTTACGCGGCCTATTCAGCCACATCTAGAGTACCGATCAAAATTCAAATCATTTTTTTGTATTCACTGAATTGGTGAGAGTGTCTTCGGCTATGAAATCGCTTCTTTTGAAACAAAATGACGAACCATCAGAACCCCAATTTAGTTAGATTTTTGTTAAATTTTCCCCCTATGAATA